GTTTATAGATCCTACCGAGGCAATCTCAGTCCAACTAATATCAGGTGCATTAAAGTTTCCTGATGTCAAGCATCTACTATTTACAGTCGATCGCTGAATGTTCTCTAAAATAAAGTCATCAGCTAAGCAGATTAGGCTGCGATAGATGATGCCGAGTATAAATGTGTAACATCCGATAGTGTACCCGCAGTTAATGAGTTCACTAGCTTCACTATCATTGCATTCGCAAGTTAAGGACTGGATATTTAAATTATTGGTTATGTATAAAAAAGAGCCACCTCCTTTCCTATCACTTGTTAGTTAGTGTTATCCGGATGATTCTGGAGTAATGCTGAAGTCATAAACTAACCAAGTTTCCGTCACAGCTACAATGGGTAGCCTTAATTTGTACACTAATGCTCTCAGTTCATAGAATTTATTTCTTAGACGACGAGCATTGGCATATCAAACTCATAGGCAGAAAGATCTATTCACAGAGGCTTTGGCAGCATTCGCTACCAAGACTTGACTACTTGAAAACCCACTAATCGGGGATTTCCCTCACCATTTTGCCGACGGATTTCTAATCCAGCTAGTGCCGTCTTCTTTTTTATTCCATCTTCAAGAGACATATCAGGTCTTACTCAAATTTCGGTATTGTCGTGACTGCGAGCGGTACTTAACAGATCATGTTGCTTCTCCGACCCTAGGATTACCTTAAGGAGTCTATATGGTCGAGGTTCAATACTGTTGTTGGTCCTCATACCTATTATTATCATCAATTTTTTGACCTGAACTCCTTTACAGTTATCTGGTAAGATGCTACAGATATATTCTCTGAGCTTTTCCAAATCATGCACGTACCTAACTTTGGGATTAGGATCGTTCGACTCCATGAATTTACAATAATATTCCATGAGATTAAATTTTTCTCAGTCAGTCCAGGGTGAAGTTCTGTTTTACTATCAGATTTTGGTAGTGCATTCTGTGACACAGAATGTGATTTCCAAGGTTTTTAATCTTAGCATCTCAAATAATCCTAACCCATCTGCCATGAACACATCAGGGGAGCAGATAAGTAGTCTACACTCACCAAATAAACAGAAAATCCTTGGTTACTGTCAAATTTGAAGCTCCACGAGTTTGTAGTGGCATTGAACAATAACCGCACAATCCACAAAGCTGAACACGAGACTACTCAGAAAAAAGATATTCAATATTTAACGCGGATAAATACCTAACAATGGAGAAGGCGCGAACAGTGAATTGAATGGACTGGAGTTGATCGAGTGGCATGGCTCGTCCATGCAGGCGTGGTCTCTGCCGAATGTTACCTTATATCATCTATTCATATTAAATATATTGTTCTTTCTCTAGCCTAACCTTGTTCTACATCATGTATTGGTAATTGATACGATACAGTGAGTTGGTGTAGTCGATGGTGTGACTTCCACGTAAGATCTTATAGATTAGGCAGTTATATCATGACGAATCTACAATTTTGGGATTAGGTCTATTATTAGAGCAGTACTAATGTAATGGTAGACCATAATTCTACAAGTTCACTTAATCTGCGAACGAGAACAAGACTCGGTGACTAAAGACCAGTAATCTAGCTATTGATGCGTTCCAGCCCCGCTATCTAGAAGGAGAAGTCCAAGCTTGGTATGGAAAATATATTCTGCAAAACAGCCAGAAAACGAGCGAGCCCACAAACACAATTTTTAAAACGTATATATACAAATACATATATACATATATATCGATATTCCATGGAGCTTTTAAACATTTAATCGATAAGTTCGTCAATTGATTGACATTGATATATTTAAACATTTAATCGATATGTTCATCGATCGACTATGTGCGTGGGTGGTAAGGAATGCCCACGCATACATCTGCATACAAGCTCCACAAAGATAAAATTACAAACTATGAGTTTTTGGGATATATCGTCCCCAACAGTTACCTAACTATCTATCTCAATAATCTTTCCGTAACTCACTTAAATGGTGTGTATTTACTTGGGGTAAATCAATATTGAGACGATATTTAATTGAGCTCAATGTTCACCACCAGAATTTATTTTGTCCAAACCTCTCAAACACATTTCGACAAGAGCACAACTCATTCGCTATGTTTGCTAACTTTTCAGACCAAACAACAAAATACAATATAATCTCTAATGGAATTAGTAGTTATCCATGTGTTTTTCGAAAGCTCTTAAGGATCTTAAAGTCTTGACTAGTTATGGTTTTGATATAACCACGAAAGCAAAAATGTGGGACTACCCAGTTTTTCGATTAATAATAATAGCATTATGAATTAAAGCGTTTATTCATAGTCTTATGTTCATCTATCTCTACTGGCATATACACACAACTCTCAACTCTTGTCGTCCTTATTCTTCCAGCAAACTTAGTCAATTTTAAAAGTTGGCAATGTCTAATTTACAAACGGTCAGTGAAAATCCTACAACCTTATATGGAAAAACGTGTGGTCATATGACTTGTGCAGTAGAATGTCGAAACAATAGACGTCTCAGTGTCCGTCATAGGCTTGGGACTACTCAAGTATCATGACGATATCCTAGGTAGGGTTAAATCAGACAGTGGTGCTTTTTTGATACCTTATAGACGTTACTTTGAGGATGAAAATGGGGAGGACGATAATCACTAGTAGGAACAGAATATTTGAATAAAGGTGGAAATAGGTGAGAAAGTGGTCTCCATGTCGTCATCAAATGACAGATTTCAATCATTTGTACTTCATGTAAACACCACTCTGGTAATTCCTCAGGTGAATACGGAGAGACTCCGTTCGTGTATGTTTTCCTTATGACTATTCCCTTCTGATTCTGTTGCACATACTGTTTCCCGTTGTCTGTATATTTGTTGTTCACTGTTTGATTGTAATTATGATTACAATACCATCTAAAAACTCTGAGTCGCAACTAACTCCCTGGTATTGTTAAATCTTTCAAGAACTATTTACCCTTCGCTTTGCTTGATATGGTTTTATCGCAGCTGCTACACCCAACTGTCATACTTTACTTGCTACCCGGTGGATCAACTGTTTCGTCCCATGTTATTGGTTTGAAGCAGGTTGCTTGATCGTCAAAGAAACGTTAGTTATCAATTATTGTTAGCTGGTCATTGTTGAAACAAGTTAAATTAAGCTATCTTGTTGCATTAGGTGGAATACTGTCCGTTTACTTATGGGGATACTTTTCTTTTTCGATAAACTTGTCTTATATAGTGTCAGTACCAGTTGGAAAAAGTACCACTCAGGTGCCATCAGTTTATTTTTCCGTCCGGTCTTTCTTATAGTACAACTCGGAACATCTGTCACGTTAATATGAGGAACCTAATGATTAGTACAGTTTCGAAATGTCACTAAAAAAAGTATAATAAAGCGAGGTCATAGAAAGTTAAAGCCTCGTTTTCAACTAAAAGCGCATTGCCATGGGCAGGAGACCGACAACTCATCCTCCTTGAAATCCATGGTGTATTAAGAATTGACGCCGAGTGTACCGCGACCTCACTTGTATATGAATTGGTGTTTTGAATTTAGGAGTCTTCATATTCCACCCTCAACATGAAAATAATAATATATAATTATTAAGCAGTATGCTAGATGACAATAGTGCGAGCTTACAAGGGAAATCAAACTACTACATGGTTCTAATCTACTGTCCTAGACAGTCTACGGACGCCATAGTCGGTGGTTTCGTATTGCATCATGTTCCAGCCATTTTGTTAAGGCTTTTAGTTCACTGTGCAGATATCTTACTAGCTGTGAGATAACTGGCAAGAAAACTTTAATGCATGAAACTAGAAATTCATTTAAGATAATTGTTAGGATCCTTTTCTTATCCATTAAACGTACAATACTATCCACATGATACATCATGTTTACATAACAATATGCTACATGAACGAGACATAACACCAACTGTGCTCCAACTCGACCCCTGCCATTAGATGCCTTTGTTACAGTTTGTGGCACAGTGGATGCGTCCTCACACGTTATGATTTGCAACACTTGTGTGGTTTGTGAAGGATCCTGCAACGCTATTAAACTACGATCAAAAGTAGATAAAACCAGCCAAAAATGGAAAAGATAGACACATCACTGACGATCAAACAGAAATTGGATACTTAAGTGCTAACCTTGGACCTTCTCATCTGATTTTCTGACTAAAAATAACACGACAAATCATGGCAGGACTACCCAGTATCAGTGACTACCAGAGGGGTACCTAGATTCCAACAAACAAGGTCAACGTAATCTGAGGAAACTGAAGTGCACAGAACGCCTAAAATATTCGAACACTTAAAACAAGCGTGACACATACTTATTGGTAAACTGCTCTGCGCCATCGATGTTGTGATTCCATTGATTAGCATAGAAATGTCTGATGAAAGTATATATATATATATATTCATCCGTCAAACATTTTTGCTTAAAAAAAGCTCGTATGAATTGATACTTACCACCATCTCATGTCAGAACTTTACTTAAACGAGATGCCCTTCCGAACTTTACACGACGTCTGCGAAATAAGCTTCACAAGACCCCTTCACGATTTATTTTCAGGACGATGAAGTAAATCGTACAGGAATTAAAGACAGTATGACCCTTTATTTTCCCATTCACCACAATAATCCTCAAATCGAGAACTTACAACAGCGTCTAGCTAGATGATTCAGGCTATTAAAAAACATTGTCTTCATATTCAAGTGACTATAGACTCAGTCTGAATTTCAAACAAATGCAGTGTGAGCGGCTACGTTACCTCATGCTTAAATATATAATTGGAACTTTAGTGTGTTGCGACGAAAATAATGGTTTTTGGAGTACTTATTTTTTTACTTATCCCAAAATTTACAGCTTACCGATTTTTGATGCCAGCACAAGCAAAACAATACGACTCTATTAAGATGCAGCAAATGATTGAAAATATAAGACTTTCGAGGTTATTTCTATTAAATACGTTTCTATATTGTCATAATCATGTATTTTTATTCAACTCAATAACCTTTGCGTTATCTTTTACAGTCCATAAGGTATAGCAAACTAGATGGCCATAAACGATTTACTTCTTTCTATGTCCCGAGTCCTAGTTATGTAGATAATGATACTTGTCATTTATGATGTCATGGTCTCGTATCTTGCACACGAAGAATTAAGCTCATAAGCCTTGGTAGTACAGAATAATATAAGGTACTGGGTTAATCTTCCAAGTGACTTGACTAATCGAGATTTGATATAGGTGAGAATATTGTCTAGGCTATCAACCGTTAGCACATACTTTTCATATGCGTTAGTACACTCATTGTGAATACGAGAAAAACTCATCATATTTTATTACAAACAAAAATCCAATATGATTTCTACAACGTTTGCGAACCAAATTCTACATACGCCAATGAATGACCGTATCCACAACCGATATGTTTCACTTTGTAATTTTGATTAAAACATCGGAAATTTATTCGATATGGTTGTGTGATGTAAGGAATAACTTCTTCTTCAGTCCAATGTTTTTCTATGTGACTCGCAATTTTCGTTATAACACCGCACATACCATGCTCATTCCACCCCCAAACCCATAACTGTTCATTTGAATCTATAGCCAATGAGTGCTCTGAACCACAAGCAACAGATTTTATAGTCACTTCATGACCAGTATTCAAATGAAAATGTACTTTTCCAGGATGTACATCGAAGTTCGGGAAAATCTCATTAGATTTTCCTATAAACTTGCTTAATACGTTAACAGTTCGTCCAAGCTGTCCAAAGTCTGATCGACCCCACGAATAAACTTCTCCAACACCTAGAAATATAAAGCAAACACATTCTTAAGCAAATACGTATATAAAAGTATTTATGTTAAAATTATTATGCCGAAAAGTGACTTAATGAAAAAAACAATATCAAGAAATTACAACTCATGTTAAAAATTTGATGGCATAATTGTTAAAGTAACCGCTAAACTATTCACAGAAAATGCACCGATTGATCAGTATTAATCATAACAATGCCTGTCAAAATAACAGTGTATCTTTACTAAATGAAATCATATGAAAGAAACTATAACTAGTAAATCTTTAAACAATAAAAATGAGCATTCCCTACAAAGAAGTTGGGTAATAACAATCATCCACTATTAGAAGTTCCTTTATTTCTTGATAAGTTTAAACCCGATTTCCTTGACATCAGTTCGGATAACCATACCAAACTTTGCACAAAATTTACAGTTCGAACTCAAGTGCATAAGCTTGTAATTCATCCCTGAATACGAAATAGTTATTTTTGACATAATTTATTTGATTTTATTAGAGATGATATTGAATAGTAAGTAGTTTATTAAAAATAAGCTTTTAAAAATAAAAGTAGATAAGGTTGAGCGTGAGTGACTTGAGCTAACAATAACTTGCCTGTGACTAGTTTCGTTTAAGATAAGTGCACAAAACAACTCAATCGATCAATAATAATTAGGTAAATAATCTATTCAGTATTTCAATAACCTCTCTCTCCCAAAAATGTATTATGTAAGTATAAATGAAAAATTTAATACATAGTGTATAGTTAGTATGATTACACGAAGAATTAAAAGGTTACGGTTTTAATTAGACTACTGATTTGACTCTGGCTTTCACCATACGTGCATTGATCTCATCACCAGCACTTATGCAGCTACCTAGATACACGAATTTCTCGACTACTTCTTTCTGCCCACCATCCAGGGTGAGTACAGGATTAGAATCCTGCCAGTCTTGTAGAAGTACTTTGCACTTCGAAGGTGCAAAAGCACATACCGTACCTACGGACATTGATTACCAACTGATTAAGTGCGAATTGCATGGCTTGGGCATTATCGCACAGTAAGACAATACCATCCGCTTACTCAAGGTCAAGAAGTTTTTCTCCATGCAACAGATCCACACCCCCGTTATTTACACCCATCAGAGCTGTTTCCAGAATGTCATCGATGGCAAAGTTGAAGAGGAATGGTGAGATTGGGCAATTATACAAACTACTCAAGAGATAAAAACCTAAATCTGAAAAATGTTTCAAACACAAACTGGGACTTGTTTACAAAGGAATTAATCGGAAATATAACAGATGTTATCTTCAACTCTGATTAAACCGCGTCACTTTACATAAACATGAAATGTTGAGAAAGACTACAAAAAAATTCTGTTGAAGTCATAATAACAAGTTGCCTAACAAACCAAACGCTTGGTTTTTATGTATGTTGGAAGGCTGTTAATCTTGTGGTCCATTTTTTGGTTTACTTATAAATATAGTTGTGGATAGTCATCCGAAATCTTGAGAACAACTAGCTAATGCTAATTTATTAAACAGAACTATTCGCTTTAGCTACAAATTTTTCCTTAATCTATTGTTTAGCACAAATAGATATGAGTACATTAAATTCATACTCAAAGAGATAAACAAGAAACTCCATAATATATTATTTGATACACGAAAGACAAGTGCAGAACCAAACATAAACCTTCGCGGTTGAAAATACAAACCTATTAAAGATTTTTGCAAAACATCTCAATGACTTTCCGTTGCATATATACATTGCGATGTACAGGAACAGTAGGACAAACTCTCTGAAATAATTTATGGTGAGAATTCTTACTGTATTGAACAAAAACACTGAATAAAGCGACTAATATTACTTTTCAGCTTTTATGAAGGCGACACCATTGCTGCTAACACTTGGTATCCAAAATTGTTTGAATATTTGTTGCTCTTAAAAAACACTTTATCAGTTTGGCTTTCTCATAATTTAGACGGTTAATGTGAGAAGTAGGTTCTAACCAAGCTCAAAGAATGAATGGTTTTACAACTGATTATTTCAGAAGTTAAACTATAAAGTGACGACGTTTTGGATACCAATTGTTCTTCAAAATTTTGTGAGGAATTTATGTACAAATGACTTGACTGCTGTACAGGAGTTAGCTATTGGTATATTCTGCGCACAACATTGTAAAACCATATTCCCACATACAATACTAAATAAAGCAATTATTACTATTACGATTTTACAAAAGCGTTTTTAAGTATATAAGGGAAAAACTAAGCATTATTATTAACTTCTCGCGTATGCATAATGTTTTTAGTAAACTGTTTTCTATTATTATATCTCTTTCAATATTACTCGGGTGTTTAGTAAGATGTGTAAGTTTTAATTGATTGGCTTTTTTGAGTTTCCTGTAACATAGCACTTACTTTTGCGAAATACTTTTTATTTAGATGAGTCATAAAAAAGTACACAATTACTCTTACTAATAGGTGTTACTTACTAGTTCTAACGAGAACATGACTCCATCCACAGACCACTTGTTCTATTTCATTGTTATCGAATAATTCGGCATCATACCAGATAGGAGATGAAAGTCCACTTTCGATATTCGAAGAAAGACCGTGAACTTCTGATTTGAGTTTAAAAAATCTAGTATCTCCAAAAAGAGCCAGTTTATTTGTTCCTAAAGATGAAGAAATTATAAATTCCTATTAAACCAATAGATAAAATGAGCACACTTACAGGAGCTTATGACATACTTGTTTTCGCAATTGAATGATGCGCACCAGCGGCACAATCGACCCACTCGTGCGTATCGCCAAATACAGAGTTCAACAGAGTGGGACGGTAACATATTTGTTTCGATTCGTCATAATGCTCAGCTTTAATCATCATTTTATCAAACAATAATTGTTTTCGGCGATTAGAACCCCAACCATACAGTTTTCCGGAGACTGAAAAATAACTTGCTTTAAAGAAAACAAAAATCACCTGTCACAGAAACGACATGCCTTAGACCTGCAGATATAGATCGAACAGGCTCTATATCAACACGAACCTACATCTGCATCATATTTACCCGATAAAAACTTACAGGAATTATGCTTGAATTAATACTTTCTTTGCCCAACTGTCCATATTCATTTGAGCCCCATGAGAAAACAGATCCATCACTTAGTACTGCAACAGAAAAATCCCAGCCACATGATACTTTATTAACAGTTGATGCAAAAGAGTAAGGAATAATTTTAAAGTGGTTGCAGTCATTTGAACGACCCAGCTGACCAACAGAATTCAAACCACAGCTGAATATATTGTTTTCTTAGTACATAATATTACTTTGTTTTTCATTTACCGTCAGAAATCAGAGAGTGACCACCACCTCCGGAGATCAGGGCGATCGGATCAGTGAAATTAATGATTTTAGGTTCATAAGCATCTTTATCATCTCCTGTACCCAGCTGTCCATGGCTGTTTGCACCCTGTAAAATAATATGATTGCAAAGATTGTGATAAAACGAATTGAACTCACCCATGTAAGCATAAGAAAGAGGAGACTTAAATTGTTGCCTGAGTTTCAAATAAAGATAGGTAGAAAAGAAATCGGTTTACTGATGTATTTGGACAGCTGATTTACCACAAGATGCTGAGCAAAGGTAAAAAACACAAGGCTGTTATCTTGAAATAATAAACACTAATAAAGTGAGAGTTATTCAAATACCTTAATTCGTATTAGTATGACTTAAAATGGTGCACATGGAGATCCGTTGGAAAAACACTGGAGTGACGAACACTTAGATACTCAGAGCTCATCGTTTGTCTTCATGAAAACAAAAAAGAACTTATTAACTTTTATAGGATATTTACTAAATTAATCGCAATCCAATTTGTTTCTAATTAACGACTCACATAAAATCTGGCACATGGCACCAAAAGAAAGAACACGCCACAAAAAGTATGGATAACACTGTAAAAATGAAGCACACTTAAGCCATACAAATATGGAGACAAAATTGTGAAAAAAGAGTAGAGAGGAAGATCATAATTAAAAATATATAAATGGATAGATATGAGTGGACGAAAGTAGCACATAGTAGGAAAAACAGTACAGTTAAAATGCAACTAGAGAGAATTTTCCGTGTTTTTATGAAGCACTGAAAGAAAACTACAGTAGAAGTGCTATTTGTTTCAATTCTGAGTAATGTTCTAGCACGTCACGTTCTAATAGTACTACTACTACACGCACTTGTATATACATTTTAGAGCAACTAAAAACACATTCCCAAAAACATTACGTTGACCCTCCGATTACAGAGGTACATAATTCAAACGCTAGATATGAAAAGTATTTCGGAACAAGACTACTTGATTACGTCAATGAGATTCCTTGGTTCATAATATCCGTTCATTGTTTTTCCGACAATAAACTACAAGCAAAAGCTAGGATTCTTTAAGACGACCAAAAGACAACTGTTACTTGATAAGTGTGAAATTTTTGAATGCCAGGTGTTTGGAAAGTCCGAGGACTTGCATGGGTAGTTTTTGAAAATTAATGAAGAGTGACTACATGTGAAAATTGTGAGCATAATGAGAATATTGAGTGTTTTCTTGAAATCGATCGTGATACGTTTCACGAAGTATATAAACGAATGAACAAGACAAATCCGAAACTTCAGCACAGAACTCATTACCGCATCAGCTGATACCACTCAGTGCTAAAAACATTATTTCATGTATAGAGGCTCCTTGTGCGCATCAAAGTTGTCTAACGACAGTGCTTGAGTTTATTTTTATCACATAAATTATACATGACTTAGAATTTAGGTGAAATTTCAGCGTTCTCCCTAATGTCATATGAAAATTTTCAGTCTGGAAATTTTTAGTTTCCCGCGAAATAACTTGGAATTCCGTGGGAAAACGTAGGCCGTAGGAAATCTTGAGGAATCAATTCAAATTGCTTGGAGGGACTGTTCTCAAAAGTGAATGTTAAACAATTATTTACTAGAACACATTGCAAGAGTGACGTACTACTTTAGATCACGCGGCTATAATATGCTACATATTCGAATTCAGATTTGTGTAGCAAAGACAGAAGGCCTACAACCTATGTTATTCATTTTCTAGTGTGCTTCTGTGAGTGTCCAGTCTTCTGTTGAAAGAGCCAGTTGTAGGTGCAGACACCACTGCTTCGAGCAGCAGGTCCCAAGTATAGACGACTCGGTGTGAAAACCTGTATGCCACGGGTATTTTGTTCAACTTGGCTTTTCTATTCGCCTGCTATGTCCTCTGAGGTGTCCCGATCTAGTTGAAAGAAAAATAGTGAGTAATTTGGGTCCAAAATCATTTCTCAGTATTCTATACATCGAAATTAGATCTCCCCTTAATCTTCGATAGGACAGAGTAAAGAGGTCCGGCTTTTCAAGTCGCTCTTTGCATGGTAAACCCCGGAATTCTGGAATTGCACGGGTGGCTGCCCTCTGTACTTTTTCTGGGATATCCGAGTCACATTTTGAACAGGGGCTTGCAGCCTGAACGCAGTTCTCAAGCTTAGTTCTCACTAAGGATGTGTATACCGTGGTGAACATGATAGCATTTAATTTGGTGAACGTCCGTTTTAAAGCCCAGAGAGTTTAAAACCCCTTAGCTGTAACGTCCCGGCAATGGGCCGTCGTATTAAGATCATGACTCGCTGTCATCCCTAGATCCTTATGAGATCGGACCACGAGTAATTACCCTTCCCCTATGTTGTACCTATTAACCATTGAATCCCCATGGTGCATGTAGACACACTTTGCCGCGTCGTTAGGCATCAGCCACTCTTTAGACCAGTTAATCATATTATTTAAATCTGCCTGAAGAGCACATGCTTCTGTGTCTCAAGTTATTACTCGCCAGATCTTTACATCGTCAGCGTATAATAACATTGGAGACTGTACTATACTTCGAAGATCATTAACATAAATTATGAAAAGCAAAGGACCTAGGACGGAACCTTGAAGCACGCCACTAAATATTGGTCTCCAGATGGAGCACTTGGAATTTATTCTTACTTTCTGTCTGCGACCTACTAGGAAATCCTTAATCCATTTTAAAAGAGGTCCGGCAATACCCAGGTTTTCCAACTTCAATAGCAGTTGGCACCTTATCAGAAGCCTTACTGAAGTCTATGTAGACAACACTCGCTAATTTTCCGTTGTCTAGCGCCTTTATCTAAAACTCCCTTGCTATAAGGAGGTTCGTTGTACAAGATAGACCCTTCCTAAAACCATGTTGTTCTATGATTAGCAAGTTATTGGTTTCCATAAATGCCATTATGGTCCGTTTGACCATTCTTTCCAATATTTTAACTACAACACTGGTGAGGCTTACAGGTCTGTAGTTCGATGGAACTTGTCGTGGACCTGTTTTATGTATGGGAGTGACGATTGCGTCCCTCCAGTCCATAGGTAACACACCTTGGTCAAGTGACATATTGAATATCACAGTCAGTGGGGCAATATGTCTCAAGATTTTGGGGTGTAATTCATCTGGTCCTGTTGACTTTTCCATGTTTAAGGTGCTAAGAGCCTTAAGCACATCGTCTTGATCGAAGTTCAAGGTGAGCAGATGGTTTGTTGACTTTTTATTTTGGTCTGGTTCTTTGTCTAGAGGGGGTTCCTGAGTGAAAATTGCCCTAAAATAGTCAGCCATAGCCTCTGTTTTTTCCTGATCTTCCTCTATCATTTCAGTTTCACTCCCTTCTTTAATCAGGTCGGGAATCCGATGATGCATCCTTCTTCTGTAGTTTATGTACGAGAATATTCTCCTAGGCTGCTTGAGTGTAAATTGTGCCAACTGCATTTCATATTTTCTTTGAGCTTCCCGAATTTTCGTTATACACTTGTTTCCTACCGATCTGTAGCATTCCATAGTACCTGCTGTGCCAAGGCGGATGGCAACATCCCAGCATTTCTTCTTTTGTCTTAGTAAACGCCGAATACCCCAGCCTATCCAGGGATGGCCGTGCTTCTGCTTCTTTAGAATTGGTCAGGGTATGTATGGTTGATTTACGCAATTGTGTAACTGCCTGAAAAAGAGTCCATGCCTTTTGTACTGATGCCTTTGAGTCAATTTCCCAGTTTTCAGCTGATGCTGCGGAGTTGATTGCCTCCATATGTGCCTTCGATATATTAGGACGAGTCGGCGCAACTGTTTGACAGGCAATCTCTGCCATGAATTTGAATAAAATGACTGCATGGTCACTTCTCCCTAGTGGTGGGAGAAAATTCATTTGACCAACGTCATCACCGTGTGTGAAGACTAAATCTAAGAAAGAAGAGTTTCTTAAGTCATATATCGTGGGGTTTCGAATGTGTTAGAATAAAGCTAATCCAACCAAGGTTTCTAACAGTTTGCAATCGAACGACGTTATCGATGACCCTACTTCTAAATTAACCCAGATTCACAAATTGAAAACCCTTAAGAACGAGGTTTCTTTCACCGTCTGGGCGACGCTCATTTATTTCCACTTCTGCAGCTCGTCTGTTGACATGATCAGCTAGGCTGAGATCCTCATGGACGTTTATTCTGGATCCAATCAAATTACGTGAGTTACCTAGAATCAGGTTCCTTTCTTCAACCGTGGCAAATGTAACCTTCAAGAGGTGGTTTTTCTGAGGACTTTGAGAATCCACCTTTAGTCCTATTCTATAAAGCTTACAAATAATAACTCCTGAAACTGTATCTGGGAGTAGTTTGCTTATTAAGGACTTAATATGACTGAGATCGTGTTCAAATCTAGCCTTTGGTTCCTTATCGAAAGATTCTCTTAACTTATGAAAAATGACTGACCTCTCAGAGAGATCTATCTTGACACGCAGTGGAGTTTTTGTTTCTGATACCGTCTCTTCCAGTGACTTGCTAACCATAACATAATTGTTATCCATATTAAATATATTTTTCTATCTCCAGCCTAAATGTGTTCTTCATAATATATTGGTAATTGTTACAATACGATGAGTCAGGTTGGACAGTGTTGTGACATCCACGTAAAGTCTTATAGATTAGGCAGTTACATCATGACAAATCTTCAATTTTAGAATTCAGTCTATTATTAGTGCGGTACTAATAACGAAGTAGTCCATAATTCTACAATCTCATGAATCATCGAAGCATCTTTCGAAACAAAAAAGGAGGAAATCACAATAAATGTTATCCAATGGTATGCACCAACCAACGATGGCAACGACGACGATAAAGATCAGTTTTACTCCAGGCCGAAATCAGTCATAGCGAAGTGCTGAGGTAACGACTTGACCATTCTGATGGGAGACTTAAACTCCAAAGTCGGAATGGACAACACTGGGTATGAACTTATCATAGGACGACATGAACTGAATGGGGTAAAGGAATGAAAATGTTAACAGTTTTGCAAATTTATGTGTATTCGACAAAATTTTTATAGGCGGCACTATATTCCCCCACAAACCCATACATAAGGCAACATGGGTCTCACCGGACTACAATACACGGAACCCGATCGTCATGTTTGCATCACTAAAGTATCCACAAGGTCAGTGGAAGACGAGAGAATCAGGAGAGGAGCTGACATAGACCTGGATCACGATCTGGTAGTTATCAAAGTGAGACTGAAGTTAAAGTATCAGTGGTGTACCGGAGAAAAAGCATTAAAATAGTTTTATACAGCTTTTTTTGAAGATGCTGACAAACTCAGCATATTCAAGATAGCTCTCAACAGCAGGTTCCAGGTCCAACAATATCTACTCAACAAAGAAGTAACTACTATGCAGGACAACCGAAAAGGGGTCAACGTAAGTCTCTACTGTTAACTTCTTTATATTTGATAGTGCGTTTCGTGAAATTGTAACGTCCAAGTTCTGCTCGTCCAGTTATTGAAGTACGGACTATCGATCTATTTGCAAATTACGAACCCAAACTAACAACAGAACCAAGCTCCAATTTAGATACCAAATTTATTTGTAATTCACAAATAATCGACCAAATGTCGTTCTAACAACAATAATTATAACAATTACAAAACAAACCTTCAATTTTGTAGGTTCTCGGAGCAAAACTCCCAAATACCAAACCAAAGACAAAGAGAGCACCAAAATACCAAACCAATGACAAACCAAAATGTCCGAAATAATGATATAAACAAACAAGTTCCAAAGTTAAGTAAAACAATTACATCCAAAAACACAGTAAATTATTAATGTACAATAAAAGGTTTTAATCCGCCAAATGTCTTCAGTTCTCCCGTAACAAAATAATGTTCTAGTTAAGCAAACCACAACTCGGGGTTACTACGACTGAATTCTAAAAGTCGAACTTTCGCAGTCAAATCAGTGTCTATCTCCACTGGTGATAAATCCTCCAGGCTTTGGGTTTTTATTGAGTCTGACATGAAGTATGTGACCAATATAGCAATATAATAAGGACGAGATTTTAGAATTATGGTCTACTTTAATGTTATTACCACTACAATAATAGACCTAATCCTTAAATTGTAGATCTGTTGTGATTGTTATTATTATTACTATTCAAAAACATAATATGGGTACATAAGTGTTGTGAAGAAACCATCTCGAGTTTCTTGAAAAATGAAATAATACACAGGTTTCAATAATGTAAGAATTATATTTTCCATATTTGAAAATGAGAGTATTAATACTAGGATATTAATAATAAATCAGGTTCTGTGTAATTGAAAAGAATATTGAATTAACTCTAAATAAAGGAAGGGAGAAAGTAAGGCAATAAAAATAAAGGAGACGTGAAATACGCAAATAGTTTATTAGGCGTGTTTATGAACACAGAACAAGAATGAACGTATTTGTTTCTATCGTCAAATTAGTAACAAAAATAAAATATGAAATAATTCAGAAAAAATAACTTATACTGCAGTAAGATATGACGCTGAAATAAGTGTTTGTGCAGTTATAGTTTAGAATGATGCTATGAAAGTCACAATTAAGTGAAAAGGATAACCAAATATCAATATGAGTCATATATGCATAGTGAAGATAAGACGAGTCTGAGAA